CCCCAACAAAGAGTGAGGCATCTTTAAAGTCTGGGATCAGAAAGGGGTTGAGTATATTCGGACAGTTTATCCACCACAAGGGAATTGTGCAATTTGAATCATGACAGCGAGAATATGATTCTCATTTTTTTTAAAGATATTTACAAGTCAGAAATTACATTGAGAACAGTGATATAAAGAAGAAAACCATTACAGATTTCAGGGTATGCAGGGTTAGAACATGTGAATTTGTCCCCTCAGTAAAAACATAAAGGTAGAAGAGGACTTTTATTTTGACAGGATTAAAGATTTACACTGTAAAGTCGTGCAAACACAGCAAAATGATGCATAAAAAACTCTTTCTGTTGCAGGTTCCTTTTGCTGGATTTAAGGGTTGGTCTAGGTGTAGATTTTGGGGGGACCAGGGGACACATCCCCCTCGATATTTAGAACATGTGCAACTGTTGTCCCCGGTAAAAACATGGATGTATAGACGACTTTATTCTGACAGAATTAAAGATTTTCACCATAGAGTAATGCAGACATAGGAAAATTATGCATAAAAAACTCTTCGGTTGCAGGTACCATTTGCTGCATTTAAGGGTTGCTCTAGGTGTAGATTTTGGAGGGGGACACACGGGACACGTCCCCTTCAGTATTTAGATCATGTGCATTTGTTGTCTCCAATAAAAATGTGGAAGTAGAATAATTTTATTTGGACAGAATTAAAAAAGATTTACACCATGAAATCGTGCAGAAATGGCAAAAATGATGCATAAATAGCTCTTCGGTTGCAGGTTCCATTTGCTTGATTTAAGGGTTACTCTATGTGAATATTTTGGGGGGGGGACACAGGGGACACGCCCCCCTTAATATTTAGAACATGTGCATTTGTTGTTCCAAAAAAAAAAACATTTAAGTGGAAGAGGACTTTTATTCTGACAGAATTAAAGATTTACACTGTAAAGTCATGCAGAAATAGCAAAGTGATGCATCAAAAGTTCTTCGGTTGCAGGTCCTATTTGCTGGATTTAAGGGTTGCTCTAGGTGTAGATTTTGGGGGGGGGGGGCCTGGGGTCACATCCCCCTCAATATTTAGAACATGCGCATTTGTCGTCCCCATAAAAACACGGAAGTGGAGGAGGAATTTTATTTTGACAGAATTAAAGATTCATGCAGAAATAGCAATGTGATGCATAAAAATTCACTTGAAAGCAGGAAATTATGGGTTTGAGATTTATTTTTTGGGTGGAGGACCCCCAACCCCCTTGCATGTGTCCCTCCAATATTAAAACGTAACCTACGCCCTTGCTCCCTTACCCACAACCGCCGACTTGCCATTGAGCAAAACGTTTCCAGCTCCACAACAACAGCTCAGAGGTGAACCACGACGTCGCTGCACGCTCCCTGGACTTCCCCCGGTATAAGCAGGGCTGAGACGGTGCCTGCTCTCCCCTCTGCAGAGGTGTTGCAGGCTGCAGCAGTCTCACCCTGTCGCAAAGAGCTAATTGGAGTGGCCTCATTTAGGGGCACGTCAAAGGGGACGCGACAACACCGTGTCAGCGCCTCCACAAATCTCCTGCACGGTCTAAACTTAATAGCATGTCAGAGACCACAACTGATGCAACGGGGGTCACCGTGAGCCTATGTTTCACTATAACGAGCCCTCTCCAAACCCGGCGCTGGGACTGCGGTGGCAAAGCGGAGATTAATGTCCCAATCAGTGATGTGGTTAAGTAAAAAGAGCTGTGAACTATACGAGCTGCAGTCCGGATTATCATAAGGAAATAAGACATGGGGAAAAATATAATTTGTGTTATGTCTTTGCACAACAGATTTGACATTTTATTTCTGAGGATGGATAAAGCCTTTTTCAGAGGGTGCAGGACTACACATGTATAGCTGTGGTTTGAATAAAGATTTAAAGAGGGTTATATAATGGATCATAATTCAGGGTGAGGCTGAAATGTGAAGGTCAAATTTTTGGAATAGTTTGGTGTTGGATATTTCATTTAAATCGGGGAATATTACCACATATTTAAATTAAATAATTACATGAATGCATATTTTCCTTCTACTGTTGCTCTTTTTAAGGCCAAAAAAATAATACAAATAATTTTAAAAAATCATGTTTCCAAACTCCAAAAGAACAACCAGCCTCTTACTACAGATTATACATCATTATGTGCACAAATCAATATCTGGATTATCTTTGTATGCAAACTTCGACGTCCACTGCAGGATGGATTGCTCCATTACCCAGAGTCTGGCAATTAAATCCCTTTATGGCTGCAAATACGACAGGGTTTCTTGCAGGCGGTTTTCAAATGTCTGCATGCCAATAAAGTAAAGTGGCCTTGACTTGAATTTGACCTTTTTGTATTGGGACTCTTAAGCTCAGCAGATGGAGGCTGCAGGATGCCGAGGTTTTTGCAGGATATTCCATGACTTGCAACTTGGGGCGTTTTTAAACTTTGGAAGGTGTTAAAATTAGATATCACATGTCCCTCTCTGAAGAATGGGATCATTTTGCCGGGAACTTAATAGTTAAATGTTTAACTTATCGATGTAGTTCTCTCAGAGTGACGGCAGCTGGGCAGGCACATCAGAGTGCTGGCAGAGGCATGGGCACCTCATCCATCAAGAGTTACGGATTATAGCTTTCTTCTAATCTTGGATTTTACTGCATGTGTCAGTGGCTGCAGTCTGCATTTTATTGTTTTAAAAACAGCCATATTCAATTTATGTGTGAGGAGAAAATGCCAAATTAGATTCAAAATGCATTAAAAAAAGACGCATTACTAATTTAAAACTTTTGCTTTTAAAGGCTGAATGGATTTATTAAATGTTACTGCAGGAAAAAAGAAGCCAATTCTGATTTTTAAAGGTGTAAAAACAACATGAAGTAAAAGGCTGAACCACCATCCTGTGTGATATTTGATGTGCAGCTAAGCTGCACACTGTCTACCTTGGTAACACAAACGTCAGGCTCGGTTTACTGGCCACAAGTGCTGGTAATAAATATTCATGATGCTGGCGCCTGCGCTTTCCCGATATCTGAGTGTTTGTCATTTCCAGACTTGAGCGTAAATACATTTAAAGTGGATGTTTTTCCTGCGCTCCTATTTGATCTGGAGCCACCGTGCAGCTCTATAGGTAGCCTGGGAGAAGACGCGCTGCAGCCTGTCGTCGAGCATTTTATTTTTGATAGCGTGTGTGTGGCTGCAGTGTAAAGCAACACGACAGAAGCATGAAGTGGAAATTAAACAGCACAGTCAAGGTTCATGCTTTGCATTCAGTCGCACTGGCACGTTAAAGCAGCAGCAGCAGCAGCAGCAGCAGCGGCGGCTGTTTGGGGCTCAGAGAGGTTGTAGTTTCTCTCCAGTTAAAAACATGTGCAGGGAAATAAAACAGGGGGATAAACTATGAACTCAGGTCCATAATGAGCCAAATAACCAGCGATCCAAACACAACTCACATACATGGAAAGTATTTTCCATCATTATCAAGCTGGACTCTGAAACACTATTTTACATTTAAAGGCTTTTTCTCAAGTTCAAATGTTGAATAAACTAGTTTAAGGTGGATTCAGCCTCCATCTCTGCATTTGTCAATCTGGCACCAGCTTTATATTTAAATATGGCGCATGTGTGGAATATCCCGCCAGCTTTGAAACCACATGACATAGCTTTAACACATCCACTCTAAACTATTTATATTTCCAGTTACATGTGAAAATTTTTCTATAAAGCTGCAAAGTGACTTTCTCAAACGAATTCACGAGTGCGTGTTTTTTTTTTTTTATTCTTCCCTTCCTATAGCAGCAGTGCATCAGTGGAGCATCAGCACTGGAACCTAGATAGATAGATAGTGTTAAATAGAGTCGAAAAAGTCATTTTATTACCATCCTTCATTTATCTCCAAATTTAATAGTCCGTGAAAAGAAAATATGAATACATTTCAATACATTTCAGCAAATCATCTAAGATGGTGGATGTTTTTATTTTGGCTGGTGAGGACGCACGGGCACGCGCGCACACACACACACCTCCTGTGCTGCTGCTGTGTGTGTGTGTGTGTGTGTGTGGATTCTTTTTACGATTAAAATTGCATTTTCTTTTCGGGGTGTGTGCAGCTTTTCTTTTTTTTTTTTTCTGACAAAGCTGCAGACTGACAGATCGTGGCTCCGCGCGCACTGGCAGTGTTAACCATGATCACTGGCGGCTGCTGATGTGATCTCTGCCTAATGGGGCGGTCAAGCAAGCTGCAGCCAGGAACAATGAGGGGGCCACATTGACTCCTCAGCTCGCCCTAAATCTATGAAATCCGACAAACTGCAGAAAAGGGGGAAAAATAAATTAGATTTGAAAATTAGATTCCCGAACAATTAAGTAAGCCAAACTATCCCCGGTTTTACACTGAGGAACAACCGCCGTGATTAATCGATTTAATTTGCACATTACTGGAGGGCAAAGTGTTGGATGTTAATTTTGGATAAACAGAAGATGCAGGGGAAAAAAGGGGGGAGTGAATTTACTTATTATTGACTGTCAGGGAAGTTGTGACAGTGCGGTTAAACCTTAAGCTTTGAATGAAATGCTCTCTCTCACACACACACACACACACACACACACACTAAATAGTTAAATCATTTGTGCATCCACACATGCAGCTTCCTTAAACCCGTGCTAAATGCATTATTATGAGCAAAAAAAATCCACCTCAGTGTGCAGCTAATTATTAATATATATTTTAAAGCACCCATTTAGTGTCACACAGATCACCCTCAACACACCAATGAAACCAAAAACCTCCCAACGCATTGCATTATTGTATTTTTTAATCCTTTAATATAGTACGAAATGTATCCAAACATTTTTTTGTAAACTAAATTTTACATACGAGCGCATTTCTCCATAAATACCGATCAGCTTCTAACATGTTACCGGTCCTTTACATGCGGATAAATATGGAAAATTGAGCTACTTACATGTAATAATACTTCCTTTCAGACAAAGCAATTGACAGAGATTTTATATTTATCACGTACATAAACAGATTGACACGGAATTTCAGGCTTTCACTACACGATTTATCGACATGACATTAAATAACAACAATGATACTGGTGCTACTCAAACTGGACCTTGGACGAAAATGTTGCACTGAATAGGCTACAAAAGCACATTAATACTAAGAGTCGGTTAGGTCGACGTGTAGACTGTAGTAATACTGAATAATTCACATTTGGTTCACAACTATAACATTCTTTTCAATGAAGTCTATTCATCGCAATATTCTTAAAACCATCTCATTTTTCCATATATCTAGGGACCACATTTGTCACAAATTTTTCCCTTAAACTGTGATAGAACTATTTACAAAATAAAATATTACATTTTTTTATTCCCAACTTGGTGAAATCCTTATGTACAAAAATTCAGGCCTCTACCCGGAGATAGCATGCTTTTTGAGATCTCTTCTGAGCAGTCTCTCAGTAGAAATAAAGACTCAAAGAAATATTGAGGAAAAAGGAAAAAGAAGTTTTAACTCGGTGGCTGTCCTCGCCTCCTTTAAGTCCATGCATTCTCTCTCATCGACATTAAGACAGCCTTTAACTGTGTGGGGCCTCCCGTGTTTTCTCAGTCCATGTCTCACTGGCTGACTTTATAAAGTCTTTGATTCCAAGCAGTTTTTCTTTTTTAATTCTGCAGTCTCTTTTTTTCTCGCTCTCGCTTTTTTCTTTTTGTTCAAAAATATTTACACGTACCATTCATTGAAATTTGACGACAGCGTGCTGTGGCTGGTTGTGTGGTGTACTGCTGAGGCTGCTGGTGATATGGAGCTGCTGCTCTGGTTCTCTGTGGACGGGGATACTATGGTGGGAGGTGTGGAGGACTCGTACCCTGAACTGGCCGCTGGAGACGGCTGCGGTCCCGGATTGGTGGATTCGTGGACCTTCAATAAACGAGAGAAATGTTATGGAAAAAAAGCATGCTGCATATGGCTGGTTTGTCCCCGGGTTTGTTTTGTGCAAATAAAAAAAGGATTCAAAAGAAATTAATTCGACTGGTCTGAACATCTGCAAAAAATACCCACCCAAAACATTATTATTCTCATTAAGATCTTAATCTGATTTGTCGGTTGAAAGAAAAGAAAGAAAGAAAGTGTCAGAGCAAATTAACTTCTCTATTTCCTAATATTGCAAAAATATTTTTCTCCACTCAAGCTGCAAAAACATCTCTAAACAGTTACAACATTTGATGATTTAATAAAATAAATCAAAGCCTTTTTTACCTTCATGTGTTTTCGGAGGGAGCTGGGGTGTGTGTATGACTTGTCGCACATTTTGCAGAGATAGGGCTTGTCCGACGTGTGGACGTGCATGTGTTTCTTGCGGTCACTGCTGTTTGCAAACCGCCTGTCGCAGCCTTCAAACTCACACTTAAAAGGCTTCTCACCTAAATACAGACAAAAATAAATGCAAATGTTCAACACTGGATTTCATACTACACATTTGATATTTTAATATGTCTAACGTGTGGGAACAGAGGAGGTTAATTATAGTGAGTAATAAAAAGGCAGCCTTTTTAATTTTAAAAATTAATAATAGAGAATTCAGCTTAATAAAAGGCTGCAAATTAATTTAACTTGAGCCATTTAGGTTATTTAATTATTTCATTTAGTTAAATTTAAATAGACTTCAAGATAAGAAAAAACATATGAGATATTTTCTGTTGACAACTGCAGTGAATCACATGCCAGTGAAGAGACTTCAGCTGCCCAATAAATAATAACCCGGATCGCATGCATATTTTGGATGCACATTGTCAACATGGATTTTAAAAAAGCGGGGAGTCTTACCGGTGTGCGTCCTTTTGTGAATTTTTAGATTTTCCGATCGAGCAAATACTTTGCCACAGCCGGGGAACGGACACGGAAAGGGCTTTTCTCCGGTGTGTACTCTGATATGATTTACAAGTTTGTATTTGGCTTTGAATGGCTTTCCTTCTCTGGCGCAGTCCTCCCAGAAGCAGATGTGGTTGGTCTGCTCTGGTCCCCCCACATGCTCCACCGTCAGATGGGTCACCAGCTCGTGCATCGTGCTAAAAGTTTTGTTGCACGACTTTTTGGGATTCGTCAGCTGCTCCGGCTCGATCCACTTGCAGATGAGCTCTTGTTTGATCGGCTGCCTCATGTATCGAAAGAAGGCCCCTGCTCCGTGGTGTGCGGCCATATTCATGTTCATGGGGCCATAGCCGTGCAGCTGGGTCGAGGCATAGTGGTCGGATCGTGGGCTCGTAACGTGGCCGTACTGGTCGGCCCGTCCGTACATGTCCCCCGAGAAGCCCAGCCGCATCTGGCTGTTGACCACGTTGGAAGACGCATGGCTCGCCGCTTGCTCGTGGAGCCCTGGGAAGAGCAGGTGCCCCGCTGCATCTGAGTGTCCATGTGGCCCTGCGAAACTTCCGGAGGCGAACAAACTGTGCTGCGCCCCGGTGGCGTCCCCGAAACCCCGATTTCTGAAGAGAAAGTCCCTGGTGGAGTTGAAAGCCGCCGTGGAGTAAGAGCCAACGTGGGTCGGGTGGTGGTGATGTCCCAGGGCGGCTGCTGCGTAGCCGGGCGCCTGAGAGGAAAACGCCGTTTGTCCGGAGCCAATGTCGTGGGAGCTGTGGTTTATTTTGAAGGCGCCCATCCCATCTGCAAACGGATTTATCCCCAACGCCACTTCTCTCTCTGTGACTTCGCCTGTTGAGTGATGCCGTGAGGAGCCGAAAGTAGTGACTCCTATGGTGGGATACTGCGGTCCTGCGTCCAAGAGCATCTTCAGTCTAGACTCGCCGAGACGACTGAGAGCAGAAATCAAAAAATCACGCACAGATATTCTTCCTCCCCCTCTCTCTATCTCTTGGACCTCACTCGACTGAGCAAACTCTCAAATCCACCGATTTTCTGTTTACTTTCTAAGACGCGAGGAATTCCCCTATATCGCGCATCCGATGCACACGCAAAATCATGTATACATGCAATATTGTCTTTTGCGGTTTATCTTCCTGTGGCGCAACTTTCACCTCCTCAGTCAGGCGGTGAGCTCTAGACTGATAGTCGCAATCATTCCTGCAGATAAATGAATTGAAAAGACAACACAGTCCAGCCCTGATGAATGGGAGAGGAGGGGGGTAGTCATGTGGGCCCGGAGCTGCGCGCTCATTGGCGGAACACCTTTCCCCCCAATAACATCCACTCACCAAATAACAATCCACGGTGCAGGGCCCACACTTCTATTGGCCTCTTTGCATCATCAATCCCAGATATTGTGAGATTGCTGACTGTGGATTTGGTTAAAAGGCTGAATAACAGCAAAACAAAAAGTTGAGGAACACGAGACAACACACCGGCCTTGTAGAAAGTCAAAGCACGTTTTGCAGCCACATAGTGCACTAAGAGTTTGTAAAGCAAATGTGTCGCGTTGTCTTTGTTAACCTGGGGACATTAGATCACCAAGCAGAGCCCTTTGGTGCTGTAATCGGTGACGTTTTTGCACAATGAAGCACTCAGACATTGTCTGTCTGTGTATCTGTCTGTGTATCTGTCTGTCTGACACGAGCTTGAGAGATACATGAAGACAATGCCAGAATCAACTATGACAATCATTTAATTTACTGCACCTATGGACTGACAGGACTGTAAACAAACCTTGCAGCATTCAATTGTGGAGCCTTCCTACATGCGTCAGGCACAGGTATCGAGTCTCTTCTCAGGAGCCCCCATGGGAGACGTTGAGGTTTTGATATAAAGTCTGCCCACTGTCACCACTCTCTTTAAAAAGCTCTGTTATTATCAACTTATCCCTTTTTACCTCGAAGGGAATCCACATAACGTTTTGTTGTCTGTCTCTTGTGCGCACTCTGCGTGTTGAACACAACGTGTGCGCGTCCACTGGAGCTCACACCAGTGGAACATCTGTGCTTTAGATTTCCACATCATCACGCTCACCAGCACACCCCACGTCCACAAAGGTAACCTTGCATATATAGGCCAGTATTTAACTTGGATCCACTAGTATGCCTAATGTATCCATCACGGTTTGGCTGTGCTTGTGCAACTTACTCATTTCTTTGCAGGGCCAGTGATGCATAGCCTGTGTGTAAAACGTTGTGGGTTGTCGAAGTTATCAAGTGGGATTTGCGGCGCTCTCTGCAGGAACCTCCGGCTGCTAGAGTTCAAAGCCACATGCACAGACGTGCCATGCGAACCATTAAAATATCTTCTTGGCTACTAGGCTAGTTTCTACAAGGCTTTTTCCAAGTCAGTCTTGGGAGACCAAGGGAAGAGGGCAAGTTTTGTTGTTCTCAACTTAACAAGTAGCTACACCTTCAACCTGATCCGGCGTTTTAGGTAGCCCACTTCTCTGCTATGCAAAATTTGGAGGGATCTTTCAACAGGTGGAAAACGGTAAGAATGGCATATGATTGAAAAGGGGGAGAGTCAAAACTGGAGGTCATGTACGCAGACTTGCAACAAGTGAGGATAACTTGATAAATGTGTGCCAAGAAAAGTTTGAATTATACATAACTTTGCAAGTGAATTTAAAGTTGTGCCATTTATGTGCCTCAAAGTGATCATAACATATTTAGCATATGTGCGTAAAAGGTGCGCCCTAATCAAAACGCCATTACCCGCTCAGTGTCATGATCCTAATGTGCTGCAGTCATACTGTAGAATTTAAGATGGCTACCTGGAGCTCCTCAGGATTTACAGTGAAGGCAGTTAAGCCAAAGCAGCAAAAACAGTGTTTTATGAGACTACTCGAAAATATTCAGCTTTTTCTTTTTTTTGTTTTGGGATCTTATACAACTCCCCTGCTTACTTGTCTCCAAGAGTGAGTGCATGCACAACTTGGAACCAGAAATAGCACTTCAAAGTTTAGCATTACGCTGGTGCTGTGATGCCTCTGAAGGCTACAGCTGTGAGCCTCGTGAAACCCCACGCGTAAAGGCCATTTAATAAACATCTTTTGGATCCGTCATGTCTCAAAACATTGACTCAATTTTCTAACGTGTTGGATATGACGCTGTCAGCAAAGATTTTGACAAGTCAATTCAGAGAAATAACCAATAGGAAGATAGTTTTTAAATTACTGTTATATAAAGAAATTATTAGCCAAGTGAGTGTGTGTGTGCTATTTATTATTCAGCATGGGCTGTTAAAACAAAGAAATGTCATATGTTGTCCAGTTGGTTTTATCATCAACGAAAATTTAAAAAACGTGTGAGGAGGTTGAGATACTCACGAGCGGCTCTGACAATAAATTTAAGTTGTCCTGCACAAATTACTTCTGATAACCGCAGAAGTTAAATAACACATTTACGCATTTCATATTTGACATCAAAGTGGTCAACATTGCATGTGACCTTCTTTGAGGTCGCTTCACGCAGTAATTTATTTTTGTCTGCAACTACAAAGATACAGCGTATAGTCCAAATATCTGCCCCACAATTTAAAGCGTTCAATAACACAAATATAGTGACAACACACAAGACATAACTCACCCAAAACAATAAAGTCATAGCTGTTAATTACAAAAGTGTAAGCAGGGCGGTACAAGAAAAATATTATGAAATAAGTTATGATAGTCAAATAAATTTTCGGCCATTCATGTTTGTCACAGAGACAAATTAGCCACCGTGCTCAAGACAATATGTACAGTAACAAACATTACTCAACATTTTCCTGACACACATTTGAGTTTTAAATTCGTCCTGTTTGATAGGTTACAAAGACAAAGTGGGAACACACAGATCATTCACACGGCATGTTGTTATGATCCATAACTAATATCTTTCTTTTAAGCATTCAAACAAAAGGCAGAAAAAAGAAACACTAAGTCTGAGGAGAATATTGCAGTAACCGATACTTACAGTACACACACGTTTTATTTTGAACTTAACTCTGCAACGGCACCACCTCCCGTGACCCTCATCTGCTGCCGTCCTGGGTCTAAAACAAAATTACCCCGGATCATAACAACAGGTCCCGTCCATTACATTTTTTTCCCCTCGGGACAATGGTCGCAGCTCGCCCTATTCACACTTACTACACACACGGATCCCACCGAGCAGAGCACGGACTGTAGTACGCGCTGAAGGGCGAACGGCTGGATATGTAAATACGATTGTATATCAAAGCGCACATTAATGGTATGTACTCCGGACTATTTTAAACCCCCACGTGGAGTTTTCCTTTGGTTAAGTTGACAAGTTTTTCTCCTGCTGACGCCGATCTTTTACGTGCGTAATTTGTGCGTAAAGTTGTCCTTCATACGATGCGGGGCGAAATGAAGATATCACTGCATTATTTATGATCCTTACAACTTTTATACTGGCAATATGCACAGTGTAGCGAGGCAGGCTGTTTTGTAATTGCAGAATCAAACGGGGGAAATTGCTGTTTCATAGCCGCGCAGCCTTTGTGCGCTGCGACAAAAGAAAGGCGACTGTATATCTGGATCAACTTTTTAGGACTTTTATTGTACAATAACCTTTGCATAACAACTATTTTTCTCAAGCGTTGCCTGAGGCACTGCGCATGCGCGCTGGCTGCTTGCTGTCACTAAAGACATTTTTCTTCACGTTGGAAACTGTCACTGGTGACGTCAATCACCGAGCTCTGACCAATTAGAGCGCAGGGTGATTGTTTAGCTCCACGGGCTGCAGCGCCTACCATGAATCTCTATTCAGTATCAAAGCGTCCTGCTGCTGCCTCTCAACCGAATGGGATTCCATGTAGTCTGCAGATAGACTTAACTTTATAAAGTCTTTTTTCTTTATTTTTCATTGCGATTAAAATATATTTGTCATCATCATTATTATTTTGCCTGCTGTCAAGTTATTCTAAAATTAGGAAGTAATGAGCGTGGATGCATTGGGAAGCCCCGTGATGGACCCTACGTTTTCCAAACGGAACACGGCGCTGAGATTAGTTGACTTGGCAGGGGCTCACCACCATCACCATCATCACCACCATACCCCTCAGAGCGTGACAGGCTTCCCGGGGTTCAGCAGCCATCCACACTCAATGGCTCACTCGCACCCTGGGGAGATTACTGCGGAACCCCGCCTGGGGCCGAGTCCATTCGGGCCAGAACACATGGGGCACTCCGCGGCCCTCAAAATCAGCCCAGCCCATCATTATCCCCACCACCATCACCACCACCACAATCATCATATGGCAGGCCACAGTGAAGTGGTCTCCAGTCAAACGGGAGCTTTTGGCCCGGTTCAGGCGACATCGGTCCCCTATTCTATGTCTCACACGGCCCAGGCTTTATCCGCAGGTAGGGATTTCCTCATCCGGAGAGATCTGACAGCTCAAGCCATGCCAGTACTGACTGACCAGACTGCTGGTTCAGCCTCTCACCACGGAATGTTTGTCTCAACAACAGGTAGCTACCCCGGACACTATGGTCATCACCCTGACGCTGGGAACCATACCCTCTTCTCCGGACTCCATCACGACCAGCCTTCTAGCGGATCACCGGGTGGCCAAGCGTTGAATGGACAAATAAGGTTAGGACTACCTGGAGAAATGTACGTTAGGTCTGATCACTTGAGTCAAGTGGCAAGCTCCAGGGCTGATCCGTTCTCCGCCTCGCCGTTGCATGGCTACGGTGGTCTGAATCTGAACATGAATCTTAGCGCTCACCACCACCACCACCACGGAGCCGGTGCCTTTTTCCGCTACATGAGGCAGCCGATAAAGCAAGAGCTGATTTGCAAGTGGCTGGAACCGGAGCACTCGCCGAAGAAACTTTGCTCCAAAACTTACAGCACCATGCACGAACTCGTAACGCATGTGACGGTGGAGCACGTTGGAGGACCGGAGCAGGCGAACCATATATGTTTTTGGGAAGAGTGTCCGAGGGAAGGCAAACCATTTAAAGCCAAGTACAAACTTGTAAATCACATTCGAGTGCACACCGGGGAGAAACCGTTTCCATGCCCATTCCCTGGCTGTGGGAAAGTGTTCGCGAGATCCGAGAATCTTAAGATCCACAAAAGGACGCACACAGGTCAGTAGCTTTATATTCCTAAAAATAAATGTTGCAGAAATGTAATATGTGAAATTAAATCATCAAGTTGCATGCTGAAATTCAGATTTAATCTTTACAAAATTATCCACACACGCACGTGCTGTTTTGCATAATTTTCACGTTGTGTTTTTTATGATTTTTAATTGAATTTAATTTAATTTTACGCATTTAAAATATCCTCTGACGTACCAAAGCAATTAATCAATCCGTGCTGCTGATACATCAGCACGCAGCAGCCACTGCCCACCTGTTTGTTGTGAGTTGCATCGCAAGTTTTTGCAAAGGGACTGAGCTTTGGGGGATTATGATACAGCTCACTCAGGCGTTTGACGGTTCGACCTCTTGTTTACACCACAGCACAAAAGACTGAGGCCCACGTCAGGACGTGTTCGTGTAGTTTAGAGCATGCCAGATAATGACTGGCAGTAACGTTGGAAATGTGCATCTTCACACTCACTGTGACTGATATGATGATGATGATGATGATGTTTTTTTTTTCCAGACACTTGTTGCTCTGTTTATTAACTGTTTAATGCATGCTCCATATCCCAACTACTAATTATAGTTTGGAATGCATTTTTAGATTTAAAGCCACGAATAAAGGCGCAGTTTTATTTTACATATATGCATTAGAGTATTTGCAGCCTCATGTTATTCCCCCAGCAGAGTGATATGACATGTGTGCATGGTGAAATAGTAAGCCTGCTCCTGGAATGATCAGCTCTTGATAGCCTTTAGCCAAAGCAACAAGTTGACAAGTGCAGACGGCTGAAATAATTCACCAACAGGTTGGCAGAGCTGACTGCGTCTATAATGACTGACGTGTGTATATGCGATACAGCTCCAAGCAGCAGCAGCAGCTCGCGTTGAACTTTTTTTTTTTTAAAAAAAAAAAACAAACATATAATGCTACAATATGGCTGCTTGCCTCTGTGACCCAGTGACGTGCTGTGGAGCCAGTGAGGGGGGGAAATAAGGCCTCAAAATGTCGAGTCAGACTTGTAAATGAACACAATGACTACATTCCTTTTTTCGTCGGTGGCTGCATGGCACACTCCCCCCTCTCTGCTCCATTTCTGCACCCTATGTATTATTCATATAATTTGCTCACATTACCTAAGTACAAATCTGTTAAATTATTTCTGTGTGTTGACTCCCAAGGGGCCTGGTCTTTGGTATCATGTTTAAAACCTATCCGAAAGTGTGGTTATGACTGGGGCTGCCCCTGGGGTCTGTTCCTCGACGGTTTCTTGTACTACACTAATATCCTTGATTGGCTCTCTCAACCCAACAGCTGAAGGTCAAATTGATATTCAACCCGCAAGTGTAATTAGACAGAGGCAATTACATATTCTCAAAAGCTTTAATCGGAGGAGAAAAATCAGCAGTGGATGATTTCCGTGTAATTTATTCAGACCGTCTTTTTTTTTTTTTGCCTTGTCATAATCAGGTAGAAATACTTATTATTAAGACGCAAAAATTAGAGCCAGTCCATAACCATTTGCAGGGATTCAAATAGCAGACAGAATGCGTTAGCACACAGTGGGTGTAGCCTGGCTGTGGCGATACTTTCATTTATCATGATTTTTCAGTTGGTTTTAGGCCTGCTATGTCTGTGCTCATAGCTTGTCTGTTTTGACGTATGCCTTAATGCATGTAGACGCCAGGTATAGACCCAGGACAGTGGGGGTTCAGCCCTCCTGTTTACACCAGACTGAGGCTCATGCATGAGTGTAATGTCTGGTGTAAACAGGAGGCAGGTCTGACCAAGTAGGCACACTTTTTAAAAGTGTATGTAGGGGAGAGTGTGTACTGTAAAAACAAAACAAAAAAATATACGAATTTAATTAAATTTGGAAAAAAAAAAAAAAAAAGTGGCGGTAAATGGACCAGCTTTATATATATATATATATATATATATATTCTAAATTTATGTATTTATTTTAATTAATTAATTTATTTTCATTGGGTCACAGATACTTGGATACTTGTTGCTTGGTTTATTTGAACGCATGCATGCCCATAAAGTGGGGTTAGCCACTTTATTAGTGTGTTTAGAGATTTGCAACTGAAGTTGATGGTGGTCTCATAAAATAAATAAATACATAAATATGATAATGTCTCAGAGTTAAATACATTATTATTTTTTTTTAATCCACAATTTACTGATTTATGTGTCATTGTGTCACCACCACTGTTAACAGGTGAGAAGCCCTTCAAATGTGAGTTTGACGGCTGCGACAGACGCTTCGCCAACAGCAGTGACCGGAAAAAGCACTCCCACGTCCACACCAGCGATAAGCCCTACAACTGCAAAGTGAGAGGCTGCGATAAGTCCTACACACACCCCAGCTCCCTGAGGAAACACATGAAGGTGCACTGCAAGTCCCCCCCGCCCAGCTCAGGCTACGAGTCCTCCACCCCGTCCCTTGTCTCCCCCTCCTCAGACTTGGGCCGGGAGCCAGGAGGCTCCTCGGTGCTGTCGGAGCCGGTGGGAGCCTCCCAGCCCGCGAATTTAAGTGAATGGTACGTGTGCCACAGTTCAGGTGCCAGCGGCGCCCAAACACCGCCCAGCGGGCCCTCCACACCCGACCCCACAGACGAGCCACCTTACAGAAACCCAGAACCGAGGGACGCGTTTTAATCCAATTGGACTCAAACACGGTGCCAGAAGTGACAGAACACATTTTCAAAAGCTTAACTATTAAAAATGGTTTGGCTTCGGTGCCTATACGCCTGCGAAGGCCCACTGGTCCCCCTTTTGGATGAGCCACCAAACAAGACACCCCAGAGCCAAGAGACGCATTTGAACCACATTGGAAGGAAAAAGTGCAAACCTTAAAGACGTGCTAATTTCCAGGCACAGTTAAAAGAATATATTTTCAAACCTCAGCTACTCAAAATGGTTGGCTCAGTGCCTACGCGCCCTGACGGCCCACTTGTCCACTTGTGGAGAGAGTCGTGTAAATCCGTTAGACTATGTGGTACATTATTGTAGGCTAGGCATGTTGGTGTACAATTATTTTGTAAATTCGAGTTTCGACTTCGATATGTTTTTATTTATTTTTCAATCTGATATTTTGTATTATCGAACCAAAGTGCATGTTTCAATTAGGGCGAAGATGTACATTTGTAAATTTTGTAAGTTTCGATGTGTTGATGTTGATAGTTTTGGAAGGATCTGTCTCCAAGCAGTTTCTCACCGGTCACTGCGGTTATTTGTACAAACATTTTATGTTTACAGCTATTTTTTCTTTTCCATTTGTGCAGAGGGTCAACAATTGAACTGTTTCATACGCCTGCAGTATTTGATATACGACCGTGAAATTATAAATGTTTTATCAAAGTGGGCATTTTGTGATTTTGTATCATTGTCGTCAATATTTTTTTTCCTTTTTGGATATCTGAAATCGAGCGGCACTCAAAATGCGTACCGAATTGCCTTGTAATTTGTGAGTATTTTGAATAAATCTTGTATGACTAAAGTGAAAACTCTGCTGAGAGATTCGGGTCTATGTGGGATTTACAGCCGGTTGTCAATTATCTGAAAAAGTGGTTGCATTCATGGAGAAAATGTGCAGAATACATGCCTTGTTTATGTCTTTAAAAATAATATTTCCATAAAGATAATGCCTCCTTTACGCACAGCTCTAAAACCCAGTAATAACAAACCCCACGTCTACTTTTTTTAGATACAGATAAAACTGCTGCAAACTCAAAGAAATAAAATATAATGAAAGGTTTTTTAACAACACATTTTAAAGATGTGATTTTCCAAAATGTTTCTCGGGGAACTTAAAGTGCGCACCGCTTGCGTAAAAGTCTTACTTTTCTCAGCTGAGCTTTGGTTTGATGCAGACGTGGGCAGAGTGTGATGAAGGGGGCTACAATATTCTGATCCAGACTTCAAAGAGCATTTGGTACAAAGAGCCATTTTTTTCACGACGGTGAATCCTCATGGTGAATTAAGATTTCTATAGCAATAGCCAAGTCAAACTCAAATGATATGGGGCCAAGTCCGTGGACTCAAAAGCCCGCTCTAAAGAATGTAATATTTGCTTCCCATGGGGTAGGAAACGGTAATCTATGTCCTTTATATTGCAGACGAGGGCAGTATAAAGAAGAAAAATATATTCTTTTGCTCCAGGCCTACTTTACGACAATCAAAGGAGACGCCGCTAAAACGCAGTTGTCCCACACCATAATAGACTTGCATTGCAAGAGGGCCGAGCTGCTCCATGGTTAAATTTAACCATAATCATATTTTAGGCTCTGTACATGAAAAACCATAAAAGCTTAGCAGCCTATAATGATAACTGCACAGTTAAAAGTTAACGTTTAAATTAATTCTCTCAGCTTTGAGCACCGCTTTTTCCTCAGTAGTGTAAAATAAAAGGTGTAAAAGAAGCTTAAAGAGGAGTGAAAACATGCAGCTAACCAGAAACCTGAAGAGCTCTGCTGCGTTGGGAAAACTTTTGGCTGAGGGCTGAATTTTTTTACTCCCGGCCTTGACTAAGGCAGAAGTGGGTGGAAACAACGCAGCTACAACTCTCTGATACGTTTATAGAGTTTGGTTAAGTGCATGACAGTTTGCTCTGTGGAAGAGGCCCAGCTCAGAGAAAAGAATAAACACTAAAGCAAATAGGAGAAGAAGAAGAAGAAGAAGAAGATGATGATGCCTGTTTTGGCACCAGCTCTTGTGCGTAAAAGATTAAGAAAAAAAGAGGAAGGAAGAAAGAAAAACAACAAGATAGTTGGATCTCAATTGAAAGTGGGAGTCTTTGAAGTGGAAGTTGATATCAGAGGGATTCTTCTAGGTCGTCTGAACGACGTTGATGACACGGAAAGCCTTTTGTCACCGATTTGTTGGGCTCCTCTCTATTGGGCTCCTCTCTATTGGGCCGTCTAAAGCTTTTAGTTCCAGTCGTCAAAATGGACAAGAACTAACTGAGTCGCGTAAAAACATTTTCCATTCAGCCGCTGAAAGTGAAGGATGGGCAACATTTAAAGGCTTGTTTCATTAGAAGAAGAAACAAAAAAAAAAAGAAGAAGCGAAAGAGTTAAAACATGAGGTGCAATTTTTCAGCCAAAGCATTTCTGAATTTGATCTTTACTGCAGGGGAAAAGATCAAAGACACAAATATGGCCTTGAATTCATTTATAAGCCACAAAGAGAAATAAAAATCATGCACCAGTGCTGCAGGACTGCACGTCTGCTCTGCTACACTTCACTGACCTTTACATATATAGTGACCTTTAGGATTTATGGCTTTAACCAAAAACAAACACGCTGTCTGCAGTCAGAAATGAAGCCGGGGCGAGCAGGCATGGCTGCAAAGTTGGATCCTGAGAGTTAGGGTATAAGTGCGAGCAGAGATAAAATGTGATGAGTTCGCTTTTTATTGTGAAAGTTAAATTCCCGGCGCGCAGACAGTGGATACAGCAGGCACTGCGGACTGTGAGAGAGGATCTTAAACAACTGGGTTCACTCATCGGGGCTTCCCACCTTCAGCTGAGCGACAACCTCTGATCTGGTATCAGCTCTGGGGTCAAGAATCAAGAACAGGTGTGTGTGCGTGTGTGCGTGTGTGTGTGTGTGTGTGAGAGAGAGAGAGAGACAGAGAGAGAAAGAGAGGCTCCACTTGAGCTGCAGCACCAATCCAACTCAGGAAGCTGATGGTTGCAGCCTCACAAGTAATGTACATTAATTATAGAATAGATGATGTTGGGAAAAAGAAAAGGAAAGGGAAGGGGAGGTTTTGAGGTTTCCAAAGCGCAACAAAAAAATAAAATGAATCCATTTCGCTCCTCACAAGGCCCTCTCACCACCACTGCTGCATCCTGAGGCTCATTTGAGTGTGAAATATCATTTCTTTGTAAAATAATGGAGGCGGTAATCCTACTTCCGGAAACTGTCCGGCATTATTGAACAAAACCCTTTTAATAGGGGGATTAGCAGTCTAGGAGTAAAAGCCTCACTCACCCCCTCCACACCACCCCTCCCTCCCCCCCCTCCACGCCCACCCCACGCTCCAACACCACCACCACCATCAGCACCTCCAACACCAACCAGGTCATAATTATCAGGAATGAAGTGGCCGAAATTGGCATGGCAAATAAAGAGACAGACAGGTGCAACAGACCCACCAGAGACAGACCGGAAACGCACTGATCTGAGTATTTATTACAGCCAGTAAATACAGTTTAGATGAATTAAACGTGGCTGTAAAAATATTAACAATTTTTATAGTTTTATTTTTTTCCATTTAAGCATTTTATAGTTATTTTTTTTCTTTTTTTTTTTTAAAGGGACATTACACTTTATTTCTCAGACTTTGATCGAGTGCGCAGAGAAGCAGGTCAAAAAGGCAAAACCACGCGCACCCACAAGTTAAGTACACCCATAAAGCTTGTCGTGCATATTGAATATTTTATTCTGATAACGTCCAAGGTTAGTTTGCAAAGGGAGGGATTTACAGGATCACATGGCTGCACATGGCTGTGATGTATCGACCATACCCCGAGCTTCCGTCATAAAGATTTATGCCGAACCTTTAAAGCTAAATTAACTGTATTCCGCATATAAAAAGGTGCGCAAGCAGAGTTAAGGCAGGTTTAAGGCTACACCCCTGCGGTAGCTTTTGTATATAGCAGGCAAACCTCACATAAGTCACCTGGGGGAAAAAAAAAAAAAAAAAATCAGTGCCAGTAAGACCTTATAGGCTACACCGCCCCCTCCACCTCCACCCTCCTGCACACTCCCCGGGTTTTCGGATTACCGTCATCCACAAGATTTCAGGAAACCAAGTTATTTCACTTCCATAGATGAGCGGGCTCCCTCCAATGCGAATCAGCCCCCCAGTAGCCTATAGGCCCGAACACGGGTTTCTAACAACCGCCACATTATATGGCAGAATGTGCCACATACTTCACACCTGCACTCTGAATAGCAGCTCCCTTTCAGTGTATGATACGCCTGTTGGCCTTGGGCTCAATGCAGCTGCATGAATGAATCAGCGACCCGCTTATTTGGTCTCTTTTGATCTGAGATCTGCTTCTCTCATTTGATCTCGCAGCAGCCTGAGCTATGACTAGTTAGCGAGAGCTGTGATGACTTGCTTCATTAACGCACGCGACTGGATATATGTAAGGGAACTTGTTGCTGCAACTTGGGCAAACAGATCCAAATATTGTTAGTCAGGTGTGTGTGTGTGCATATGGAGAGGAGGATTAAAAACGTGCAATAGTTAGTGCAGCATGACGCACGGATTTTTCCCCCCTGCAGAACATGACTCGTTATTTCACATGACAACAAACTTATTTAGGATTTTAAAATTATTCAGAGCTCAGGCATGCACATGCTCGTGCAAACTTCACATTCACAAAACTGAGCCATGCATCACGCAGAATAAATTGACTTGAATTCAAGGACCTGCCCTTTAAGTCGATCTGACGCACAGCCATTTATCACAACTTGGATTTATCATCTTCTGCTGACCCCTCCGTGATCCGAGTGACGCTAATATCAGACCCAAGCAGCGAACAGGTGTGTTCAGCCCAACAAAAATATTAAATATACAGCACATAGGAATGTTTCCAGAAGGCCTCATGCTCCAAGTTTCAGTACAGAACAACAACATAAAAAATCATGTATATATGACCTGAGAAGTTGAGATATAGCCAGGGCTGCTGAAATCAAAATAAAATAACGATTTTCTTGGAAGTGGTTCACAAACAAGGAAATGGACCGTTTTAGGACAAAAAACCCTCCTACTGATTTAGCCAAAGCCATAATGGCAAAAGTGCGTTTATACACTCGATAAAAGAGACAGTATATCATCATATATCAAAATAACACAGAGTATTAGGGGATGCAAATGCTGCCAGCATTATGAATCATTGCTTTATCTGCACTATTTCACACGTCAGATGGGAAATATGTTCCGAACAGACACAGTTTGAGAAGAAACATAATGCACGTGATCAGTCTAGCAGTATCGAAAGACTTTGGGTCATTTCGCCATCTCCCGCAGGAAAGACATTACGCCTCCCATATTTACATACTCTTTAATATTTGTCAAACATTCATAAATTACAAACTAATGAAATGTTCGACGGTCCTCGGAGATGGAGCTAATGAAGACA